ATCACATTGAAAGTCAAAACTTACCAGATTCATTCCTGCAATCATGAGAAAAAGGAGCGATTCCTCCTGCTGTGTGCTGCGACGCCAACTCAGCAAACAGCAGGTGACACTTAAGATGCTTTGCTGATGTCCAAGTCAGGTACACCTCCAGGCCGATCTTCCTGCAACAAACCAAAGAGGCAATTTTATAGTTAAAGAAACAGGATGCAAAAGAGACAGGAAGCACGCAATTTCGACAGAGGAGGTCAAAGGCGAATCTCCTAGACCAATTCCAATCATTTCCAGCGATTTTTATTTTTTCCATTTTTGGCCAAATTTACAAAGGCTACAGCCTTCCCATTTTTAGCGAAAATGGGTGGGTCCGGATTTCGACGGAAAAGTAGTCGAATCGACAGGGGTGAACCAGGGGACCACAAAACTACTTTTGGTTCCGCCAGAAACCACCCCTGTGCAGAGAAACTTGAGTTTTAAGGGGTGGTCTTTTGAATCTGGCGCGCGAGCCGGTCCGCGAAAAACAGGCGTAGCTCACTTAAAATGGCCCGGCGGCGTGAAATTTCGACGGAGATATTGAGAGAGGATGCTGTCGGACCAATCCTATCCATTTTCAGCGATTTTTAATTTTTTCATTTTTGGCAAAATATACAAAGGCTATAGCCTTTGTGTTTTTAGCGAAAATTGATGGGTCCGGATTTCGACGGAAAAGTAGTCGAATCGACAGCGGTGAACCAGGGGACCATAAAACTACTTTTGGTTCCGTCAGAAACCACCCCTGTCCAGAGAAACTTGAGTTTTCAGGGGTGGGTGGTCTTTTGAACCTGGCGCTCAGCGTAGAATGGGCTGCCTACCTCGCAGGCGAACCGGTCCAAGCAAAACAGGCGTAACTCACTTGAAATGGCCCGGCAGTCTGAAATTTCGACGGAGACATTAAAAGAAGATGCTACCAGAGCAATCCCGACCATCCAGCGATTTTTATTTTTTTCATTTTTGGCCAAATTTAGAAACGCTATAGCCTTCCCATTTTTAGCGAAAATGGGTGGGTCCGGATTTCGACGAAAAAGTAGTCGGACCGACAGAGGTGAACCTGGGAACCACAAAACTACTTTTGGTTCCGCCAGAAACCACCCCTGTCCAGACACACTTCAGTTTTAAGGGGTTGTCTTTGGAATCTGGCGGGCAGCGTACAATGGGCTGCC